ACCTTACTCGCTAACACCCCTACGAGCTGTAAGAAATGAAGCTGAAGCCCTGTACAACGAATCTTTAATGAGGACGAGAAACGTATAGTTGAAAGGAAATATAGAGTTTGGAAAAGAAGATTTCCTGCATTGGCCATGGGAATAAGGTTACATTACCATATTACATAACATAGCTTGTGATGAGAATTATAGGTTGCCCCCTATGGACCGTGAACTAGAAGCAGCAATACAGTCACATTTCTTCTTCCGTTTGAGGTACATTGCGAATTAAATTGCCCCTTCGACAATTTCCAAGTGTTTTCCTTTTCTCTCCAAGGGCCTTTATTCTTGATTTTCTCTCGAGAGAAAATTTGACTGAGTTGACAGTTAAACAGTGCATTAACTGTTAACACTGTCAAATTTTCTACCTAGGTAAAGTCAAGAATAAAGCTCCACACAGGTATTAGGTATGGGAGTCGCTTTTTTTTTGGCACTATTATCGATTTGTGCTTTCCTATAAGTGAGACCAAGAGGTATTCCTCTTCTTTTGAGAAGTTGGCAGATATTTTCTCGTTATTCTTCTCCATATTCCGACAAACTAACAAAGTAGAATACTAATTACTTTGTTTACAATAATTTTTTTAGGTTATTGCGACTTGACTTCTTCGTTTCAGGTGAAAATCTGTCAAAAAACATTACCAATTGTAAAAATGAAAATCTAACCAGTGGTTTCATAACCTCCGGGAATATTTTCATTGTGAAACAAGACTTGAACGGAAGGGTATGGTAACCTACAGGCAGTGGTTATCTAACCCCCTATGGTTACCAACGATTGTGAAACTGGGCCTTATGGTCAACTTAACTTAAAGTTAACTGAAAGAAGGTGCTTGACCAGATGATCTGAAACACTTTTTTCATTTACCCTTCGGTCTTTTTTTAACCATTTGGTGACCAGTGACCACACATTGTGAAACTGGGCGTTAGTAGGTAACGGGAAGATGGAAATAAAGATAGGAGTTTTCCAGACTTTAAACATTTCGTAGACAGCATTGAATATCTCTTAATAGAACTCAATAAAATTAAACTGAAGTAATTATTGCTGTGACTCATTTTGAATGAGGACATAAATAAAAATGCTGTATCCCATGTTAAAGAAAAGTTTAATAAAAACCACGACTCCACGACTGAGATAAATTCAGTCTTAAAATTTATGACACTAAATAGGTGCCACATATATCTCGTCAGCATTTAAATGTAACCGCAAGCGGCTGTAATCTTTCACCCCTTTTCTCGTCACAAACTTAAGTTTTCTCGTTAAGATCAGCTAACATAGCGTGGAAGGATCGTGAGAAAATAGCTGTTAAACTAGTTTTAATCCGAAAAGCCAACAGTGTCATACTGTTTATTGTGTTTTTGGATTAGCCTAATCTTCTGCCGTCTCATAGAATTTATGTGTTTTGTAATATGGTGAATGATTTTCGTTGAAAAAAATCCAAATTAATTTATTTTTATGGTCGAAATGGAAACAGGACAAACATTAAACTCAAATGTAGCGTTAAATAGCTCCCTAGGCCTTTTGTGGTTGTGCTGAATGAAAAGGGTTGAGTGCGGCAAAGGCAGTTTGGTTATTTGTTTTTTCGTTTGAGGTTGAATATTTTATACACCCCAAGTAAACCGGGACAAAATTATTTTTGTGGCTGAAAAAACCATATAATCCCAAAAGTAATATCGGACAGGAGGGTCCAATGTTTAGTTACCCGTAAACAATTTCCTCTCACTCCCAGTCAATAATTCAAGGTGGTCTTTGTAGACCGATATAAAATTTCGTTGGAAAAATAGGAACGGGGCGAAACGTGCAAACTCAATGTTGCATTAAATACACCCTTGGCTGATATTTCCTTTTATCGAGAAGGCAGAACATCTTCGCCCAAATTGACCTATATTGGATCGGCGAGAGCGAAACGAAGGTCTTGAAGGAATTTTCTATATTTTATCGAATGACCTACGCTATTTTGATGGCAGACAGTCTAAGAGGGGTTGGTTATCTTTATAGAATCGATATTGAAAAGTTTTCAAAACAATGATTTGTCACTTTTTGTGTTATGAGTATAATATAACTAGTAGTTAACATATTATAAGAGATTCTTAAGGAATGCCCTACTAGCACCAGAGCCTTATTTGTGATTATATTTTCGAATAATTTTCCCACTGGTATAATTTCTGCAAATTTGAATAGGAGCCATTATAAATTCGAAACAAATTGCCGCCCTTTACTTACTACGTAAAGGTAAAGTAGGGTCAGATTTATAGTCACAGTGCAAAAGGTCCTAATTTAATATTGTTAGGGTGATTGCTCCGGACCGAGAGGTCTCTTCCTGTTCTAGCTAATGACTGATTGCACCAGAGGACTCCAACTAAGTTTTGAGAATAGGCGTAAATGAGTTTGCCACTAACCAAATATTATGTAGATTGGGCTATTTATTTGCCTTGTTCGGCAAAAGTACTTTCGAGAATAATATGAGTCGAACTAGCAGATGAACAAGAAACGGATTCAATTTGTTTTTGCGTTGCTTTTTGTCACAAGATGGAAGTAGTTTTGGGTGTTTCAATTCCTATTTTCAATAGTATACAAGAAATATTTAAAATGCAATCAAAAAATCTTACCTAGCTTCATAGTATTTGTACCAGTTCCTATCTGAGAGCTAACCCAGTTTTTGTCTGAGTTGTGTAGCATGTGAAATGCTACTGTTAGTTTATTTGCTGAGCAAAGTGAGCATATTATCGGCCTCCTGTTAATTTGTTAACAAAGGGGCTTACACTTGTTATCACAGCTCAGATTTAATTTCATCTCTCAAATCTGAAAATTTGGAAGATATACAGAGAGGGTTGTTATAGGAAAATGTTTTATTCAATTTCACATAATTCATGTGATATACTTATGACGATTTATCTTTGAATTAGAGAATGATGATACATTTCCCTGAAAACTGTTTTGGATTGTTTTTCTTGAAAAGCTAATGTCAAGGCATAGCTAAGTATATTAACTTATTTCTCTTTCAGAATTGTTTGTAAATAATTTCAATAATGAATACATAAATTAAAATGTTGCTCCAAATTTTCAAATTAAAACCTCTTAAAATTCTTTCCCATTCCGATTCAAAACGACCGATCGTGCTTAGCATAATATGGACGAATTTCTATTGTGATAACAAAAACGGTTACACATTTTCTTCAGAAAAGTAGGAGGCTGCAAAATTGCGCGATTTAAAAATAAATATAAAACAAGAGTACCTACAAGATACGGTTCAAATGTTTAGGAATTAAAGCCAATCAGATTGCAAAATCAGATATGAAAGCGTTGGGACAATATTGTAGTTGTCGAAAATCGACTAACCCGAAAACAGTATAAAAACTTCATGCGGTAGTCTTTTCTATTAGAAGCCGATGCTTGATAAAAAAAAAAGTAGTAATCGGACTTGAACGAATCACCTCCTTGGAAACAATTACCAAAAGCCATAGGGTAGCAAAAAAAAATTATGCAAGGCAATTAACTATCAATACAAAATATATAGCTTCAAAGTTGGTTCCACTAATTCCAAACTAATTTCATTCCCCAGCACGTCTAAAACGAGCAACGACATGACATATTAACTTGTTCAAGCCACAAAAGGTCAAATTTATCGTTAATGTGAAAAGTCCTAATTGAATCCTATTAAAACTTGCTAAAAGTTAACCCTTGCTAGGGCATTTGCTGTCCTTTTCAGAAAACAATTTATAAAGGTACAGGGACAAAAATAGGCACTAATGTTTATCCAGTTTTTGTTTGCGATTGTAATAATGTGGGTCTTTGGTTTGAGGTTTATTGGTGGAAAGCTTTTTAAGCTAAAATCATTTACCTTATTGATGTTTGCTGCTTGTCTGTAGTTCTATTCGTTGTTATTACGTAGAAAACAAACAAAATTTTATGCTCTCACAAAAATATATGAGAAAACTTATAAGAGAATTTTCTGTTGAAAATTTTATATTTTCTTGTCTCGTAAAATGCCACTCAGAGAAGTTCACCTTTGGTTTATTCAAGGAAAGCTGTATCGTTGTAAGTTTTGTATTTCCGATGTTCATTTAAATTAATAATTCTAGGAATGGGATCTATTATAAACTGATTTTGTTTAAGGAAATGGAAATTTGAAAAAAACTGATAGAAAGTTTAAGTACTAGGAACTGTTACGCAACATACAGACACCATATTGAAGAGCATGAGAATGGCATAAAAAATGTACGCAATTACAAAATATGTGAAAGTTGAAGCCCTTCATTTAGGGTAGTTGTAGCTACCAGTACACAATTATATTATAAAAATTAAGATTTGGTAAATCATAAAAAATTATTTAAAAAAAAAATCAAATTTAAAGTGTATCTACCCTCGAAATAGACCTATTTTTACCGGTTGGCATAGATTTGAAGCGGATAATTTAACCACTATTCAACATGGCCAAGAATTTTTAAAAAAATTACACAATACTAACTTACCATTTAATATATGAACCCTCACAGAAGATGAATTGGCATTGGACGGAGTACATGTATAAAAACCAGAATCTTTTTGAATCGCCTTCTGGATAAGCAGCCGACTGGTTGTCGTGAATCCCTATAAAAAAATCCAGGTAAAAAGATATTTTTCTGTAAATGACATTTTTCACTAAAGCCTAGCACAAAAAAAACCATTTGGTTTTTTGAGTCCTTCATAATCTATATTTTTTACTCCAAACGAAAAACTCCTTAAAAACACGCTACGATTTGAATAGTGTTTATCAGTCACGAAACTTTTTGTGTCTGGCCATTTGGAAGCTTTTAAGCAAAGAAATTTCCGGCTTGCTCTTTCTTCTGCCCTGTTGCGGCCAAAGTTTTTCTCAAGTTTTCAAATCGATGGTAGTTTTTTGAATGGGATAGAGTGCGCTTTTGTCCACGCAAAATGGAGAAAATGTTTGTACCAGAAAGCTATTGAAATAAGGTAGATCTATTCACTAGTTTGGATCATTAATCTTAACCTTTGTTTGAATTTCCTATAACAAGTAAAGCAAAATCTATCTTCATTGCTAGTAAAATATCTAAAATTATGTACCTATGTATTTTCAAAAAAACTACTTCAAAGTTTCACAATCTTTTTAGGTATGACTCTCCTTTTCCAACTCAATCAAATACTTAGTTTGAATTTTATCTTTTTATGATTGACATCACATATAGTTTTTTAACAGTATTTATTCGATTCGTTCAGAGTGTGTATTACAAAGGCAGAAATCTCGAATGAATTTTCTTAAAATATATATAAATTTAAGTATACATAAAAAGTTTCTGGTCCTACTTGACAAAAATATCAAAAACAGAAACTTTTCCAGTTATAAACTTTCAAATGGCACTCCAAACTGAAAAGTTTCTAGACTGATAAATGATATCCATATCATAACGTGTTGAATGTTCTTGAAACTTATCGAATATATGCAAAAAAGCGAGTTTTGTTGCCTCGAAAATAACAATATGAAAAGTTTTTCAATTGAAATCCTCACCTTTTCAGTAACTAAACTAATTCCCCCTCTGGGCGAATCAAAATTAATAACGTGTGAATTATGAGCCCAGACGATCGTGGGAGGTGGTTCAGGAGCATATTGAACTATACAAGTTAAATTTATTGTCGATCCCATGTTGATATACATTTCTGGGCTGCCAAGAATCTCCGTTATAGGCTCTGAAACAATTAATATAGTTTTCAATTAATAAAGCTCGAGGTGTTATATAAAAGCCTATCAATTACCCATGCATTCACTCAAATTTTACTAGCTTTAGTGTAGTAATAAGAAAAGGAAATTGCTATAGATTCAAATGCTGTACAAACTCTAGAAACTCGGAGCTAAGTTATTCAATAGTTTCGGCTTATCAAGCGAATGTATAAGCTACAGTAAAATCAATAATGGTATGGAAGTATTGTTATGTCGGGAATACATTTAGTATGCATATCAAGATTTGTATAATTATTTATACGGCTAGAAAAGTAGTTAGGTATATATTTATAGACTGGCAAATATCTAACAATAATTTCATTATAAATTGTGTGATAATAAATGTTAAAGCAACCACTTCCTGATTATCCGTTAGAATAATAAATTGAGTAATGTTATATGTTTAGAAACTCATCTGCTAATCAATTACGTTAGTCCTACTATTTTTGAATCTATAAATGAATGCGTCATTTATGAAGATGCGATTAATATTTTGAAAAACATATATGTCAAACCAAAGAATGAGATATTTGCCAGACAATCATTATTGTCAAGAACACAAGTCGGTGAGTCTATAGATCAATATTTACAAGCCCTGAAGCCATGAGCCAAGACTGCAATTTTAAAGCAGTCAATGCAGATCAAAATAGGGACAATTACATCAGAGATACTTTTATAACTGGTCTTAATTCTCATATAAGACAGAGGCTTTTGGAACATTGTACTTTGAGCTTAACACAAGCATTTAATACTGCTAGAGCACTTGAAATTGCTCAGCAACATTCCGAATTTTATCTTACACCTTTCTGTTCAAATATGAATGCTGCGATCTCTCATCAAACTCCTGACAATTAATCTTCGAATGTACAGATCGAAAATGACCCTGCTTTAGCAGCCGTCGCTTCTAAATGCTATTTTTGTGGTAGATCTAGACATGCCAGAGATAAATGTCCATCGAAAAATTCTATTTGTTACAACTGCGGTAAGAAAGGTCATTTCACCCAGGTCCATTAATCGAAAAATCAAAAGCCCCATTCTACTAAGATAAAAACTGCTGCTCTTTTGATGGGGATATCTGGAATTACTACTCCTGTCAGTTTATCAAAAGCCCTAATCGAAATGCAAATCAATTTATGGTCAAGGCAATGGTCGACATAGGAAGTTCGGATAGTTATTTTTCCGATACAGATGTAGAAGAAAAACATGAAAATGTTTCCTACAACACTGAATGTTACAATGGCATCTTCAAATTTTAACTCTTTTGGTACGTGGACTTTGCTAATATAAAGATATTTGACAATATCTATAAAAATACTAGACTTTACATTCTAGAAGAACTATGTGCTGATATTATAATTGGACATGATATTCTCAAACAACATTCAGGAGTAGAATTCAGTTTCGGGGGAAGCAAACCAACGATCTCTATATGTAATTTGACTATCGCTAAGGTAGAACCATATCCATTATTCGAACAATTTGCTACACGCTAATTTATATATTGAAGAAAAGTTAATCAAATAAGGATAATAAAAAAAATATATACATATTATATATATCGATTTAGTTTATTAATTATGTTTCTTTAATAACAGGTTTGGGGTCAGCGGGGTGTAGCAAATAATGCCTAGCTAGTCCGGTGTGAGTTCGAGCGCCACTGGCTCGACGCAGCTTGAGCCAGAGAGCTTACTGGTTTTCAGTACTACCCCAAAACCCTAATTAGACAAACACACAATTCTTGTGAAACAAAACTCCCTGAATATTTAATTTAAGTAATAATAGATGATTCTGTTTAGTAGTAATTAATAAATTTATAAAACCTAAAAATATTGGCCAATCCCAGTTGTGATCACAACCGGTTTACACGGTCTTTTATACGAATAATTATTTAATGAATTGCCTAAAATTTATTATAAGGCCCACAGGCCACCTTTTGTTTGAGACTTTATGAAATAATTTAATATTTGAAAATAAAAATAATCTATCTGCTTCTCCACCAAGTTGATATAGAAAGATTGCTCTTCATCCCTTATTAAAATTTCTCTATGAGTTAGGTACTTAGCTGGAACACGTGTTGTGTTACAAATCCGAGAATGGAAGCTATCTGTCAGGACATCCAGTTCCAAATCGAATCCAATAGGTTTTCTTTCTCTTTGAATGCCGATCGAATTGTCTATTTAATGGTGGTTGATTGGTAGGACTACACTAACATCCAAATAGGAAGAGAAGCCCTACAAGATCGGAGGAAGGGAAATAGTTATTTCTAGAAAATTCGTTGGGGTCAAAAAGTTTGACTTACGTGGTTGTTGTGTGGCTTTGAAGTAGTTTATTTCCTCTATAGCTGGAAAGCTATAATACTTCCAGACGAGAAATATTCTACAGAAGGAATCTTGTGTTAGTTACCAATAAAAAAAACACGTTTGGGCTTACCTCAGAGGTCAAAGTGGAAGGCGGAATAAATCCGGCAAATAAGCCGATAGCGGTAAATTTCACCGATAACTAACTCACTCAGGAGCAAAACCAAATAAATTTACTGCCAAAAAAAAAGTATCTCACTTTCCCAAAACTGGAAACCAAAAATGTGGTTTAATTTGTGACGATACAGTCCACGCGACCAAATGACTTCTGACCGACCTTTTTCTGTTCGGTACTTAGAACCCAAAAAAAAACTAATAATTTAAATAGGTACCATCGGAACCACTGCCGACACCTTGGGGCAAAAAAACGAATTCCAACAAAACTGCGACAATTTGCAAAATCGTACCTAGAAATAAATAATGATCTTTCAAGGAACCATCAAAAGAGGCCACCACTTGCATGAACATGGAAAATAATTCCAGCCTAGTATTTGAATGAGTCCCCCATAAATACATAAATAGATTCCTTTTAAAAAAAACGTAACAAATCCCCCTCTTACTTCTAAAAGAATTTCGTAGAAATTCTTTCTAAACCTAAAAGCTAACCTGCAACTACTAGAGATCATCCGTTCCAGGATTTGGTTTAAGATCCTTAACGTTCCACGCACCTCTGGGACGGCCATCTTTATCCTTTAGTTCATAAGTCCATGGAGAAATTCTTTTCGATATGACAAAGGGACCTATAAATTTGGGAGCCAATTTTGCAGTATAATATTTTGCGGCATTTGAGAGTACAAAATTCCGACGATAGACCTCCTGGCCCACAACATATTGAGTATCCCTCCGTCTCAAATTATAGTGGTTTGAAGATTTCTACCACCTTGTTCAATTTTCTATAATCTACACAAAATCGATAAGTTTTCTTATCTTGCTTTAAAATCAAAATTATGGGTTGGGCTTCACCCTAGACTAGAGGATTGTTCCACTATTCCCTCCTGAATCATTTTATCAAGTTCTGAATCTATAGATTTTTGTATGACGGGTGAAACCGGATAATACCTTTGCTTAATTGGGGCAGCGTCCGTAACAATCTTATGACTAACTAAATGAGTGCATCCTATCCTACCGTCCTCCATATCTAAGAAAATATCCCTAACACATTCATCTAATTTATGTTGCTGATCTAATGACAGCTCCAGTAGACTACCCGAATTCGAATTGATCGATGCTATGTCACAGCTTCCATTGAATGACCATTTATCATTTCGTAGATCTGGAATAATACCGGTTCGACGCCAAAAATCTGCTCCCAAAATGAGCATGTGCGGTAAAATTGGAATAACAAGCATATCCATTAAAATTACTTTATTTTCTAAAAGTATTGGAACTGTAACCGTGCCTAAAACTTCGCATTGGTCGCCGTTCGCAACGGTACAAGAGGGTATCGTTGAAGGATTCAATGTTATGTTCAAAGATTTTAAAATTTCCCAACCGTTCCGACCCAAAATCGTTCGCGAGGCACCACTATCAAGTAGTCCCAAAAATTCTGAACCCAAAATTGTAACTCGCAAGTATGGTCGCTGATCACCTTGAGCATGTGTCAAAATATAATCTAATATCAATTTATTATTTGCATCTACGGTCGATAAAGAGTTTAAGGAGACACTAAGTCGACCACCTAATGCCTCGCATTCGCGTTTCCCGAGATGGATTTATTGTTACAGGAGGGACAAGTGCGCACAGTAAAGTTGGGTTTACCGCATTTAAAACAGCGGCGATGATGAGGTTCCTTGCATTCCGATGCCTTGTGCCCTGCGACTTTACAATTATAGCATTTGATCACAGTTCGTGTATTAACTTCGTCGGCATAAGAACTAGATGGATCCGCGCGGTATTCGTCTACATAGGCTAAATCGGGTTCCAGTAACCTATCGGTTTTCCTAGAAGGAGGTACCTTATACCCTTCGACCGATGTTTTGCACGCTTCTAATCTTTGACAAAAATCTAACAATTCCTCTATTGTATCTTTATTAGTTAGCGCTAGTTGGGTTTGATAAAATGGAGTTATGTTATTCATTACAATTTTAAGACGAGACTTTTCCGAGAGTTTTACTGATAACCTACTGAATAAATTCTCCATAACCGCGATATATATCCCTATGGATTCATTAGGACCCATAGTTCGATTCTTTATTTCTTCGAAAAGCTTGTCGTTGTAATCCCGTGGCTGAAATTGTTTCCTAAGTAAGACTACTAACGATCGCCAATCTTGTGCCTTTTTACGCGCCGACAAGTACCAAATATATGCGCGACCCTGGAAAAGATCTATGCCAGATCGGAAAAGTTCATCTTCAGAAACGTTACGAGCCATTTTTAATTCATCTACTCTCTCCAGAAAACTACTAAGAGACATCGAATTACTTTCGCCCGAAAATTTCAGATTCCACTGGGAAACTGGCACTGACTTTGGTCTTGGCGGGTTGTTCGTGCTACCCTGTACCGTGGAACTAAAAATTTCCTCTTCAGATTCGTCAGTTGAGGAAGAGCCTGAACCAAAAGTGACCGAGTGTTCCTGACTAAGTTCCATACGCCTAAATGCCCTAACCCTTTTT